AAAAAAAAAAAATCTTTCTAAAAAAAAAAATAGATAATATATGTACATGGGAGGCTTAAGTGGAATAATATCCTCATTCGCTACTTAAGGCTACCCACTAAGCTGCCCGATTCTGTATCCCCATCTTAAAGACAAGCAAACTGAGGCTCAGGGTAACTTGAAAACACGCCCGAGGGCACCCGGTTGTGGGGACCAAGCTGGGAGGAGAGCCTCTCCCTGGGATCGCCCCCTGGCGTTTTGGTTAAGATCCTACATGTACGAGTTTACCTGCGAGGCTATTCCTATTATGTGCACTGGGGATTCATTTTCCTCCCTCAGGTTTACAGTAAACGGAGTAGATCCTAAGAACCCGCTGAAGGCCTGTAGCCCTGAAATAAACAGTTTTCTCTTCTGCATCCGGCATCAGTGTGTCCCACCCAGATGCGGGAAGCCTCGGCTGGTTTTACACCTGCCGCTGGTTTGCTCCTGAGGACCCGTCATTGTGCCTTCCGGTTTGCTCCCCTTGCTGCTTAAGGGACTGTCCACTGCTTATCTGTCAGGATGCTTCATGTGGCCTTCTTTCCTGCGTCTGTGTCTCTTCTCTTCGCACCAGAGCCCCAGTCATCGGATTTAGGGTCCACCCTAATCCAGTATGACCGTGTCTGAACTCATTTCATCTCTAAAGACATTATTTCCAAATAAGGTCCCATCATGAGGTTCCAGGCAGACATGAATCTTGGAGGAACACTCCTCCACCCAGTGCATCTGGGGACCAAAGTCTAGCCTGAAATTTGAAGGTCTCATTCTTTTTCCAGCTGAAAACCTTTCAGCGTTGATTTGTTTTGCACAAAGGAACCCCCTCTACTGAAATTAAACTGGAAGACCGTCCTTTGTCCTCCTTCATAGCACAGTAACCCATTTCTGCCCTCAGCCCAGCTGTGGTTTCCTGCCGGCTACCAGTGTCTACATCGTCCAGGAGGGCTTGGGTTGGTTGGAATTTGTAGCTGGGAATCAAGTTCAAGTCCACACTCCACTGTCCATGAGCAGTGTGACCTTGGGCACTCATTCCCCGTGTCCGAGCCTCCGTTTCCACTCCTGTCGGTGTGGAGGGCAATATTCAGCCCCGAGGTCTCATTTTATCCCTCCATGGTTCTGCACACTGAGCAAACGCAGAGTGGGTGCACAGGAAAGGTGAGCACATAGTGGGAGCACAGCTAAGGCATGGTGACTATCCTATAAAAAGACCCAGGAGGCCCCCTCATTGCCCTTCTTCCTCGAGAAGACAGCTGACTTCCTCTAATCCTTGTTGTCTGCCATAGAGCTGCGGAAAGATGAGGAGCAGGCAGCTGCCCTGAGCATAGTGAGAAGGCCGTTGGTGGTGCCCTCGGCTGGCCAGGACCCCGTGCTGAGCATGAATCACCCCTTCTACGACGTGGCCAGGCACGGCATCCTGCAGGTGGCAGGTGGGTCACAGCTGGGTGGTCCCAGGAACACTGACCGTGCCACGTGGGCCCCGTGGCACAGGGTGGGTTCATCCGGGCCACTTCCCTCCAGCTGGCTGTGGCCCCACAATGAAAGCCACAGTAGGAACCAAAGCTCCTGCCTGTGTTTGGAAACAGCTGACGACATCGGGGTCCTCCAGAGGGACGGGACCAGGAGGATGTAGAGAGGTCCACGTGAGAGGAGGTTTATAGTCGGGATTGGCTCTCGCTTGACGGTGGAGGCTGAGAAGTGCCAGGATCTGCCATCTGCAAGCTGGGGACCCAGGAAGGGCCTCTGGTCTAAGTCCTAGCCCAAGCTCTGGAGAACCAGGAGCGCTGGTGTCCCCCAGTATCTGAGGGCTAGAGAAAGTGGATAGCCCAGCTCAAGCAGACGGCAAATTCACCCCTTTGCCCTTCTGTTCTATCCAGGCCCTTAACAGATTGGATTCGCCCTCCTGCCTTGGGGAGGGCGATCTTTACTCGGTTCAAATGCTACTCTCCTCTGGAAACACCCCTCACAGACACACGAAGAAATAATGTTTTACAGCCATCTGGGACTCCCTGAGCCCAGTTGAGGTGACACATGGCATTAGCTGTCATAGGCAGTGACCCTAACATCTCACCTCTTTGTCCCCTGCGCTGAGCTCCATAAACATTAGTCCCTATCCCCAAGGAGCTGGAATCTTGTCAAGGTGATGATGAAACAGAGGAATGGTTCTCAGTAGTTGGAGGCCCCCAAGACACAAACGGCAAGTATTTTGGTGCACGCTCCATGCAGAGGACCAAGGAGAGGTTGGGGATTGGACAGCTGGCCAGCCATTTCGAGCTCCAGATGTTCATTTTGGAGAACCTTTAAGGTTTAGGGAGCAGGGATGGTTGCTGGACCCTATGTGGGAGCACAGATCAGGTACCCACAAAAGGAAGGCAGGAAATAGTTATTTTTCATAAGAATAAAAAATACATTATTTATGTTAATATGCAATGGATTATTTTTAAAGATTTTTAAATTTGATTTAAGAGAGGGAGAGAGAGAGCACGTGCAGGAGCAGAGGGAGAGGGACAAGTAGACTCTGTGCTCAGCGTGGAGCCTGATGTGGGGCCCGATCCCACGACCCCGAGATCATGACCTGAGCCGAAGTCAGGAGTCAAATGCTCAACCAACTGAGCCACCCAGGCGCCCCTGCAATGGGTTATTTTTAAATGAATGAACAAATATTTTAAAATTTTCTCTTTTAGGTTTCTAGTATGGTCAATTTCTATAGAAATAACCCACCTTTTAAAAAATTTTAAGACTCTTTGAGGACCGGGGCACCTGGGTGGCTCAGTTGGTTGAGCCTTCGACTGACTCTTGGTTTCGCTCAGGTCATGATCTCAGGGTCATGAGATCAAACCCCATGTCAGGCTCCGCACTGAGCTCGGAGCCTGCTTGGGATTCTCTCTCCTTCTCTGCCCCTCCCCCAGCTCACACATGCTCTGTCTTTCTCTAAAATAAATTTATTTATTTATATATATGTAAATAAACATATGAAATCTTTAAAAAAAAAAAAACAAACAACTCCTTGAGGACGTCAGTAATTTTTTAGAGTATCGATGGGTTCCAAGACCTAAAAGTCTGAGAAGCGGTGGCCTTGCACATGAGCTGTCTAGGCGGATGTCCCTTGCACGCTCGAGAGGAATATGTATCCCGCGGCGCTGGGCAGAATGTTCTGCGTATTTCTGTCAGGTTCAGTTGATGAGTGGTGTTGTCTAGATTTCTGCCTCTTTCTGCTTCTGTGTCTACGTCTATCAGTTGTTGACTGAGGGGTGCTCAGAGCGCCCATGGTTGGAATTTGTCAGTTTCTGCCTCTGATTCTGTCCGCTTTTGTTCCATGTGTCTTGACACTTTGTTTTTGGGGGCACATACAGTTAGGGTTGTTTTGTCTCCTTGATGTGTTGACCTCTGCATCGTTTCGAAGTGCCCTCCTTTACGCCCGGCCATGCGCCCGTGATGACAGCCACGTCTGACGTTCATGTAGTCGGGCCAGCTGGGCCAGCTCTGTCCTTACTGGCGTTGGTAGGTAGGCCTTCTCCATGCCTTTCCCTTCAGCCGGTCCCAGTCTTTACGGATGAAGCGCATCGCGTATAGACAGCTTCCCATGAGATCTTTTTTACTTCCGTTGAGGTGCCTCTTGGCGGGACCACGTCCTCAGCACCTCGAGGGTGTGCTCAGGAGTCTACACTTGGTCACGGGGCTCTGGGGAACGTGAGGCAGAGGGCCAGCACTGTGGGGCTTGTGGTTTAGAGTGACCCTTCTTGCCGCCGTATGGGGGGTGCCAATAGGAGCAAGAACAGTGGTCTGAGTTCATGCTGTGGAGAGAGATTTTCAACGTCAGGCTGGAGGACCAGCTGAAACCCGACTGGGAAGGGGCCCTAGCAGAGTGGGATGAGAGTTCAGTCAAGAGATGGGGGCCCTGCCTCATCTCCACCTGCTGGGCTGGGGGCCTGGGGCCGGGACAGGGTTCCTTCCTGGAGCGACGCTGTGGTGGCCCCGCGGTTTGTGGTGGGTCCTTCAGGACCTAACGTTAAGGGTCTGTGGGCGCCTTGAGCTGTGGGCAGATTCTTCCAGAGATGCTCTGAGGTCATCATGGTGGAACGCTTGAGCCCTGTCCTCAAGCTACGGGTTTCTGTGCTATGAGGGATGACAGCTTGGGTGGCAGTCCTCAGATTCTGGAGAGTTCTCCCGTTTTAGAGCAGAGTTCTCACTTAAACGCCAGCTTCTTGAGACATTTAACTATCTTTAGAGAACACCTGAGGCCCTCAGACCCCCCCTTAAAAGATGCCAGCCCAGCCAGAGGTCCTCAGGAGTCAGGCAGAGGCTGCTGAAGCAGAGCCAGACAGAGACAGCTCTACACGTGGCTGAGATAGACCTCACTGTCAAAGAACTAGAGCAACGGAGATCGAGACGCTCCGACCCGGAGGAACCAGCGGTTAAGGAGAGAGAAATCAGCATCCCCGAAACCACCACTGGCTTTTCTATCAGAGCACCTGGCGAGAGCCCCTGGCGTTCCCTCGCTGAGGGTCAGTCCCCTGCCCCCTCCTCCCAGCCTCACCCGGGCATCCGGCTCTGTCCCCTCGTCCCTAACTCTGGTTCAGGCTCCTGTGGGGCTGGCTCGCCCGGGGGACAGTTCACCACCTAGAACCCTTCCCTCTGCTCCACCGGGAAGCCACGTGGGCCACCCTGTGACTCCTGCCAAGGGGTCTACTTTGGGCGTGAGCAGACCTCACTCCCCACCAGGGGGACCCCCCTAGTTTCCTCTCTGGGTGTCACTTCCCCCAGAGCTGGACATGCAGAACTGCAGCTAGAAATTGGAGTGTTGTACAAAGTAATATTGAATGATCTGTCTATATTTAAGGGGTGTGCACGTGGCCAAATAGAAGCTTTGTAGAATTGTAATTCTTTAAGATAGTGTTTTGTAAATAAAGTTGATTTCAGCATTTTAAGAAGTGGTCACCGTCTGGAGCTCAGTCTGGGGCCAGGGCTGTGAGCCCAGAAGGACATGACAAGGGTGGAGAGCGGGGTAGGCGGGGGGTGGGTTTGGGCCCGAGGAGCAGAGAGGCCGGAGGTGTAATCCAGAGACGCAGAGGTGGTGAGAGAGAAGAGAAGGGGGGGACAGGCGGATCTGGTCCTCCTGGATGACAGGTTGCCACCCCAGACCTGGATCTTTCCCCTCAGTTTAGATTCCTTCCCTGTAGGATGCAGACAAAATGGGCCTTCATGTCTCCTTTTATTTCTGCAAAAAAAGATGAGCAGCCTTAAAACAAAAACCCAAAGAGACAAACTCCCAAATCACTCCTGGTTAGATTGCGACTGCCTTTATTATGCATTTTAATCGTCCTTCACTCAGAGCGGATGACGGATCGTCTGGAGTGCGTTCCGGGCGATGGCTCCGGGAGCCGTTCCTTTATTCATAAACTGGGCTTCCCCTGTCTCGGAGACAGTGAGCGATGTTGTGTGGTGCACAGTGAGGGGAGGAATAGGGGTCATGAATTAAACTGATGCCTCACAGAATTTGCATTTTATTGATAGTTTTCATTTCCTTCCACATTATATCATGTTGAAGCCCGTTTTCGATACGCTGGCCTGTGTTAGCGGAGAATGACAGAGGGGTATTTACTCATATTGACTGATACCATTAATGCAGGTGCTGCGTTGACTGCTTAGTAAGTGGGAGGCCTGGCTGTCCCGGGGGTTCCTCTGGGCCGCCTGGGAGGCCTGCCCGCGGGCGTCGCGGGGTGCTCAGGGGCGGAGGGCGCTGTGCCCGCCAGGCTGGGGGTGCCGCCCTCGGAGTCGGCCAGCTGTGAGCGTGAACCCCGCTCCAGTGGGCCTCAGCTCCCTCTTGTGTAAATGAAACAGCATGCCTGGAGACACCCAGCTCTGGCCTGTGGAAATGGTCACATTTATTGAGCACTTACTGTATGCCAGGGCTATGCCAAGACTTGATTGAAGTTACTGACTCAGTCCTTCGCAGCCAGTGTTTTTTTTTTTTAGATTTATTTATTTGAGAGAGAGAAAGTGTGGGGAGGGCCAGAGGGAGAGAGAATCTCAAGCAGACTCCCTGCTGAGCGTGGAACTTGATGCGGGACTCAATCCCACGACCCCGAGATCATGACCTGAGCCAATGCCAAGAGCTGGGTGCTCAACCGACTGAGCCACCCAGGTGCCCCTTCCCAGCCACTTTTATTTTTGAGCCTGTATCTGCAGAGTGGCAGAGAGGCTGGCTTGGGCCTGCCTGGCTTTGAGGGGACAGGGATTCTGTCCCCAGAGCCAGGGCCCAGCCTGTCCTTCTTCTCTCCTTTTTCACAAACCCAGTGTGCCCACCGCCACACTCGCTGTAAGCTTCGTGAGTCTGTCCAGTCTGAGTAATGCTGGGATGTTAGCTTCGGGGACATTTAGAAATCTGTTGACGTGAAAAGAAAATGCTAAGTTAGTTGCCCTTTTGATTTTGAGGGAAGTATAAAGCCTTCACTGGTAGCTCAGCATCCTGCAAGTTGATGAACTGTGCAACCAGTAGGTGCACAGTTAAGTGTTCGTGCAGTGAAGGAGTGAACAAGTCAGTGCTTTATACAAGCAGCATGAGAAGGGACTGGGCCAGATGTGGGCACTGGGCTCCCAGCCCCCTTCCGTGTGTCTGCCTCTGGCTTGCCCGAACTGTGCTCTGGCCAGGGATGCTCCTCACCCTTGTTTGCGGATGGTGGATAGACGGGGCTCATGGCCTGCTCAGTGCCCCTCATGCCCTATCGCTGGCTGAACGGAGTCCAGACTCTGCGCCTGACCTGCCTTGTCTCTGCATGCCCTCCACCCTCTGGGCCCGCTGACCTGAGCCGCAGTGTTACGTCCCCTCGCCTGGCCAGCACAGCGCCTCTCAGCAGCCACGGGTCTGGGGGGCTCGGACAGGCCGGGAACCCCTCCCACCCGCTCTGGGCAGACCGGCAAACCAGGGTCAGGAGGGAAGCGGGGCCTGTGGTCTGAGCAGGGCAGGGTGCTGGTGTCTGATGGAGACGTGCCACATCCTGGCCTTGCCTGGAGGGTTGGCATTCTTGGACACCAAGCCCCTCCCCAGTCCTGGAGGTCTCTGTCCCCCACCTCCTCGTTCCCTTCCACCATACAGTCTCTGCTTGGGACGCCCTGCTCCGGGCCTCCCTCCACCAGTGGCCGAAGGGCCTTTGGAATGACCCATCAGATGGTGTCCCTTACTTCCCCTCCTCACTGGCTCCCCGGTGTCAGCTGGGTAAAGTCAAACCCTTAGTGTCCTCATCCCTGTGGCCTTGACCTCTCCTTCCACCATCATTTCCCATGACAACCTGCAGCCCGCGGGGGCACGTCTGTGTCAGACCCCATGCTGTTCCTCAGCCGACCGGGGAGTCCCGTGAACAGACGTCCGCTCTGCCCTCAGCAAGGCCTTGCCTGTAGCCCCAGTTCCTGCTTCATCTTCCCTTTCTGGAGCTTGGCCTCTGCGTCTCTGGCCTGCTGGGTGGCAGTCCCTCCACAGCCCTGCAGTGCACCCTCTGGCACAGTAGGTCATGGTGGGGGTGCAGGGTCGTGCGACACGGGGAGGTAAATGACGTGTCTGGCCTTTGTCCCTGATTCTTGGGAAGTAACCTCTAAATCCTTGAAATTTCCCAAGTGATAGCAGCTTTGTGATTCCTGCTGGTTTATGCCAGAGGGGAGGCCCCCAGGGGACCCCGGGTCGTGTATGCTGCCAAGACAGCTCAGGACGGGGCTGCTGAGCCAGAAGGACCAACCGGGATCAGAGGGTCAGTGCTTTGTGACCTCCAGGGGCTAGAGACTGCGTTCAGTCCATTGCCAGGGAATCGATCTGGATTGATCGATTGACCGAGCTGCGTACTGATTGAATCATGACTCTGTCAGCCACACCCATGTGATGAAACCAGTAAAGGGCTCTGGAGCCACGTGCCCTGGGTGGTTGGTGACGTGTCGATCTGCTTGACTGCAGGGGGAGAGGGCAGGGGGGCTCCATGTCCAGGACCCTCCCACCCTGCCCCCTGCGTCTCCCCTTTTTTGCTGGTCTTGCTTGGTGTCCTTTATGATGAAATGCAAGTGAGCTAGTGAATTACCGTTCGTGAGGGGGTCGTGGGAACCTCTGGATTTGTAGCCAGCTGGTCAGAATTGGGGTGGCCTGGGGACCCCCGACCAGCAGCTGCTGTCTGAAGTGAGGACCGCTCTGTGGAGGATGGAGCCCTTCGCCTGTGAGGTGTGGCCTAAGCCCAGCTAGGTGGAAGGCACTGGAGACGTAGCCTCTGGCTGCTGGAGCCCCCCGGCTTCTCAGGGGCTTGTGGAGCTGGGCGAAGACCCCGTCCCCACATCACTGTCCTTTGCCCGTGACGGTGGGGCCAGGCGAGGGCCATGTCTAGTCTTTCTTCCCACAGCTGAGTGCACAGTGGGCCTCCAGTGAACGCTTGTTGACCTAGTCTTCCATTTGCCAAATTATTTAGTACATCCCGAGACTTTCCACTTGGCCTGATTGACGATGATAACGCCACTCGGGGTTCTTGACCTTTCATCACGGACGCTAACTTTCTCTCCCAGCTCTAGGGGACATTAATTCCCGTTGCTTCGGTAGCCACACAGAAGATCCCAGCTTGAGAAGCAACACTGTCCTTTTCCCTCGTGCCCCACACGTGAGCACAGACACAGCTTGGCCACGGGACCCTGGCCTCAGACGCTAGAAACTGTGTGGGAGACGCTCCCCTCCTGGGCACAGCCATTGAAGGATTTGTGCCCAAAGCCCCCATTTGGTGAGGCTTCCGGTGCAGTCCTTCCAAACAGGGGCTTTCTAGACACATGGGGAGCATGAGCAGAATCCCTAAGGAGCCTCGGAAATGAGAAGGTGCTGTGTCTGGAAACCGGAACAGCTCAAGAATTCTGAGTATCAGAGTAGCTTCCGGGCTCCTGGGAAGATCCAGACGTGTCCTCAGTAACAAGCAGCCGTCCTGGGTGTGCAGTCAGGGCAGGGCACGAGCATGCACGTGGGTGTGCGTGCGAGCGAGTGTGTGTGCTGTCCTGACTAGTTTGGTTCAGAGCTGGAGGGGGTGGGAAAGCCCTGCTCTCATCCTCTCGTTTTAAGTAAACCCCTGGAAACAGCTGTAAATCCTTCTTCACAATGAAAGTGAGTTTAAAGTGATGTAATTTCTAGAAAGGTATTTGCTTTCTTCAGGCTCTAGAATCCGTCTTTTAGTCAATCAGTGAGAGATTATTGGACATAATTTGAGGACAGGCATGGGCAACGAGCCTGGGTACGGGGGACACAGATGATCAGACAGGAACCAGCCCTTGGGGAGCACCTCCCTCCCCCCCACACTGTCCCACATGTGGTGAGCACCACTGTGTCAGGAGAGTTGCAGGGTCCCTGGGGCCACGCTGAGGGCCAGCACTGAGCATCAGGACTTCTGTACCCTGTGAGGTCATGTCCAGGGGTGACTGTCCCCCAGACCACCCCAGCCTTCTGCAAGGCCCAGAGTCCTGGGGGTGCTCAGGGCGACACTCTGATTCTGTGGGGAGGAGGCAGTGGGCAGGGTGGCCAAACACTAGCTGTGAAGCCAGATGCATCTGGGTTCCAGCCCAGGTGCCCTTGGCCAGCCATGTGGCTCTGCACTGGGGACTTGATCCCGCCAGGCCCCAGCTTCTCCGTGCAGGCTGGTGCTGCATGTGAGCTTCGCTCCTGTACACAGCGTCGTGTAATAGATGCTCACTCGGCAGGTGCTGTCTTTGCTACCTGCCAGCCGCCTGTGCCTCTTAGGTCAGGTGGGGCTGCTCGGGAGGCTCCCGTTTTCCGTGAACGCCTGGGGCTGTTCCACGAGAAGGTGGCCCTGGGTGCTGCTGGGGCTCACGCGCATGTCTGCTCCTGCAGGAGAGGACCGCTTTGGAAGACGAGTCATCACCTTCAGCTGCTGCCGGATGCCCCCCTCCCACGAGCTCAACCACAGGCGTCTGCTGGAGTAAGTCTCGTTGGTGCCCGCCTCCGTCTTGTCCCTTGCTGCTGGTGTCTGCACGCTCTGGGTGTTGGTATGCTGCTTCCGGTGCCTCCTTCCTGGTGGGAGCCTGCGCCTCGTGAGAGGTGCTGGGCGGGTCGGTGCGTCCTGACCGCAGTCCCAGCACTGCTCCCGTTCCCGGTTCTGACCGTTCCGGCCGACCCACTTCTCCACCCACGGCATAGTGCACAGTGGCCGTGCCCGGAGCCCCCAGCTCTCATGAAAGCATGAGCGGGTCCCAGAAGCACTTGAGAGCCTTTGGGGGGTGGTTTGTGAGAATCCTCTTGACCCAAGCCTCCAATCTGGTCCGTTAAAGGATCTTCTGACAGCAGTGGGAAATACAGGGTGGCAGCAGGAACCCTGCTGGCCACAGGGGCTCAGGAGTCTTTAGCCCACACTGCTGCTGGGTGGCAAGATCTGCCATGGAGTCCATGAGGTCACCCCGGGCAGCGAGCTGGCGCTCCTGGGTGGTGCTGGCCTCCTTCCAGCATGCTCGCACATGCGGGGCACACAGAGAGAGGGGTGCCGGGTAAGGGAGAGCTCCTATCTGGGGTCCTGCAAGGTTAACACGGGTCCCTTGCCAGATTATTCCTTCTGCGGCATCACAAACCCATGACCTGCGGGTCAAATGTCCCTGAAGGTACACTGCTGGGCCAGGAGGTGTTCAGGATTTGTTTCCTTGTAAAGACAGAAGGATCCCCGACAGAAAGCAGGAGGTTGCAGGAGGCAGGGTAATCGTTCATGGCTATGGGCTTTCTTTTGGGCCATGAGAATGCTTGGGAGCTGGATGGAGGTGGTGGTTGCACAACATGGTGGATATGCTCAATGCCACTGAATTGTTCATTTTAAAATGGTTAATGTTATGTTACGAATTTCACCTCAATCCAAAAAAAAAATAAAAACAAAACTACCTCTGACAATAACGGGTACATTGTGTTTTTTCATGTGCCTGCCTCAGAAACCTTCACTACCAGAAGGAAGTGGTCAGCACAGCCTCTGTGAACAGTTGTGTAGGTTGTTGACTGCACAAGGGCAACACAATGATGGGCTGCCATCCAGCTGCCGCTGCTCTCACCCAATGCTGGAGGGTGTCTATCTAGAGAAAGGAGCACCTTTTTCTAATTTCCTCAAAGGTGCCCTGTGGGCTTCTTGGCCTTGCTAGGAAGAGCGCCAAGATGGAGTCTTTTCCATGTTTCCATGGAAAACATTGCCACCGCACACACCATCCTCCCTCTCCCTGTCCAAGCAGTAGCTTTCTTGTGGCCAGATGTGCGCTCCTATTTTTGCAGTGGGTGAAGAAATAAGTCCGTGTCTTTGAAGCTCAACCAGTAATTTAGTTAATGACTTCCTGCGCTGAGCACGCCGAGTGCCAGATGTACCCGGACAGGGAGAGAGCTCGGCTTGCTCGCGGGAAGAACCAGGGAGCGCGCTGGGCCGGGGGAAGGGTGCCTGCTTGGACCGGAAGTGTCCAGGTGTCCAGTGTGGATAAGTGAGCTGACCGGAGATGTTCCCCTGGTCTCCCCTCCCAAGAGTTGAGAAATGCAAAGGAGACCATCCATGCAGGATTGAGGCGTTCCTGGCAGTGCGGGTGCTCTGTGGACTTACAGATCTGAGCCTGGCTTCTGTCTGCGAGGGGGACAGAAGGATGGCCTTAGTGAAGAGTTCCCCGGTGGATTAGTCCAAAGGGTGTTTGAGCAAGTGCGCTGGAGAGTGTCTGGGCGCTGGGCCTGCTTCCCCAACAGATAAGCCCAAACCTTGGACACATCAGGTCAGCTTTGCCTTGGGTTTATACATCAGAGACGACAGGTGAGAGTGCGTGGCTCTCTGGGGGCAGGACAGCGTGGGCAAGAGAGTGGACTGCTCCATTCACATCGCGGCTCTACCCCTTCCTGGTTCTCCTCGGCTGGCCTCAGTTGACTGCTCTGTAAAATGGGCCTATAGTGCCTGCCTCCAGGGCTGTGGTGGGGATTAAGTGAGAAAATTCGTGCAAAGCCTGCTGTTCAGAGAGTCAGTGCTTTGGGCCGAGGGCGCTCTGATGATGCTTATAGTCAGACGAGCAGAGGAGAAGCTGACATCCTTTTGTGCAAGATAAAGATCCCCCCTCGGTGTCCTGAGCCGCTGAGCACTTGCAGACAGGCAGGGGCTGCTGGGTGTTTCTCCTGGAGCTGTGCTGCGGACGCTTGTCCCCAGGAGCACCCGGCCCACACCCATTGGACCCAGAGCTCCCGGCAGGCTGCCTTGGCAGGGCACACAGCGAAAGCAGGCCTACTCCCTGCCACGGGGTCACGGGAGCCGGGCTGAATTAAGGACGAGATGTGCTTTAGGTGATGCCTCGGGCAGCCCGGTCTGACCTGCTCAATGTCGGCGGCCCCTGCCAAAATGACGAGGGATGTTGGAGCTGTCCTCCTGCGGGTGGCTGGACGAGGCCTAGGGCTGGAGGGGATCGTGGAGCTTTGCGGGACTCATACTGCGGTGTGTGGTCATGTGACAGAAGCAGGGCAGAGTCAGGACTCTGCTTTATGTTCACGAGAAAAAACGCTCAGAGCTAAATCAGGAAGGAAGGAATTGCATGCTCCTAGAGATGCAGCAGAATGGCTCGGGGTCTGTCCTGGGTTCGCATCCCAGCGTGGCCTCTCTTACTTCCCGCCGGCTGCTACTAACTCATCACTGCAGTTGGGTGGTGTGAAACAGTGCATTTATTCTCACAGCCAGAAGGCCGAACCCAAGGTGTTGGCAGGAGCCGGGCGCCCCGTCACTCTCCGCTCTGCCTCTCTCTTCTCAGACACAACCCCCTTCTGTGATTTCCCTTTTTTTCTGTCCTGTTGGGACACAGGTGGTATGTTTAGCGCCCGCCTGGATCATCTAGGAGAAACACCCACTTGCGACAGCCTTGCCTTAGTCACACCTGCAAAGACCCTTTTCCGAATAAGGTCACATTCACGGGCTCCCGAGATTTGATGTGGATGTCTCTTCTGGACCATTTTTTGGCCTGTCACATCCGCTTGCTAGCTGGGTGACCGTGACCTTCAGGGCTCAACCTCTCTGAGCCTCCTCTAACAAACGAGGACGGGGCCCCCTTGCAGGTGGGTCCCCACGGGCCCTGGGTGGGTCCCCCTGTGACCTGGTGGGGCTGGCACCCACTGGACAACCACGGCTTCTGTTCTGGGGAAAGCATCCTTGGTTTCGGTGACAGTGACAGGGTGATTTTCGAAGCCAAGTCTGTGCTTTGTGCCCAGGTATTTGAAGCACATGCTGGACCAGTACGTGGAGAGTGATTACACCGTTGTCTACTTCCACCACGGGCTGAACAGCCGGAACAAGCCGTCCCTGGGCTGGCTGCAGAGCACCTACAAGGAGTTTGACAGGAGGTGTGTGCGCTCGAGCCCTGGGGGGGTGGAGGGGGACCCAGGATCGCACTGAGTGGTGGGGAGCCCGGGTGAGAGGAGGGGTCGCGACTGTGCTGCGGGAGGCGGGGAGCTAGGCTGAAGGAGCTTGTGGTGGGTGGGGTCACCTGCCTTCGGGCAGGGGCTCTGGCCAGCCTCGTCATCCAGGGCAGGGGCGACCAGACAGTCCATACTTCGGCTTCGCGGGCCCTCGGATTTCTGTTGAAACTCTCCTTCTGCCGCCTAGCGCAAGAGCAGCTGCAGATAATGAACACACCGGTGGGACCGGGCTCTAGTCAAACTTGATTTATGGACGCCGGGATGTGAATTTCATGTCATTTTCACATATCCTGAACTGTTACTCTCTTAATTTTTTTCTCCAACCCTTAACAACGGAGAGCCCTTCTCGGCTTTTGGGCTGTGCAAAAGTTGGTGGCCAGATGTGGCCCGTGTACCCTAGGTCACTGACCCTGGTCTAGAAATGTGGCAAAGGAGTACGACCACGCAGCTGTCTTCCAGATGCCCCTCATGCTGTCTCCACACTTTACAGTGTACAAGGGGCTTTCTGGTGTCTCTGTCGGAGAGGTGGGCAGCGTGCTGGACCAGAGGGCAGGTGTCTCTCCCTGTGTCCCTCACCTGCTCTGTGGCAGGGCTGGGGCCCCACCTGAGACCCTGTCTCCCTGTCCCACCTGACGCACCGCACCTCTTGCAGACAGCGTGGAGCTGGTAGATGTTTTCTTGAGTGACGTCGTGCATAACAATCGACTTTGTAGTGTATTTGGCTAATAGGCTGCCCTATCTGGCCTTGTGTGGATATCCTGGAATCCTCTGGGTGTCCCTTCTCAAAGGCCCTTCATACCTCTGGTGGAAATCTTCCTATCAGACCTTTGAGTAGGTGGGATGGTGGCCGGGAGTGCCTGATTTCTCAGAGCCTGCCCTCCTGTCTTTTGGGTCCATAGACTCTTCGGAGGAGTTTCTTGGCTTTCTGTCCTGTGTCCTATAGGGAAGGGATTGTTGCCGCACTTTGCGGTCATTTACCTGACACCGTAAGTACCAGGCGAGATGGAGGCAGCCAGGCCCCAGCTCCGGCCCCTCTTCCGTGAAGCTTTCCTGGGTTGTCCCTGGAGAATCAACAGCCCCTCCCCCGCGGCGTCACTGTCCCTGAGCACATAGTGTGTCTGCAGAACAGCGTGTTTGTCCCCCCGTGCTTGGCTGCAACCCCCTGACCCACCTCTGTATCCCCTGCGTGAGGGAAGGTGGAGCAGCCAGGTGGGGCCAGGGGTGGGTGCCAGCGTTCCAGCTGGGGCGGTCAGAGAGGCCAGATGGAGGAGGCGGCCTCTGAGCAGCCCCTGGAAGGGATGGGCAGGGTGTTGCTAGGTGGCTGACCCGAGAAAGAGTAAGGTGGCCTGAGGTTCTGCTGGGGGAGGGCTGGACTGGGGGATTCGCCTGGGGAATCGTGGAGGGAGGTGGCAAAGGGCTGGGGGTGTGCTAAGGACGCCAGCCCTGGTTTAGGAGGCAATATGAATGACATGTTCAAAGTGGCCTTTTCCAGAAGCTCAGGCTAATAGGAGGAGATGCATATGTCCCCTGTGTTGAGCCGATACAGATAAATTATCAAAAGGAAGGAGGCAAACTTGTCTCCTACTTCCCACAAAGGTGGACCAGGAGGTGGGGGTAGGATTATAGACCTTGGCTCGATTGAATCATAAAGGACACATTCTAGGCATCAAAACCAGCAGTGGAGTGTCTCCTGGGGGTAGTGAGTTCCCCATCACCAGGGGTATGCAAGCGGAGCTCCAGATCCAGTTTGGTGAGATTTGTACCACAAGAGTTTCTGCCTGCTCTCGCTGCAACCTGGTGGGTTTCCTGCATTCTTTTCCTCTTGGCTGTTGACTCCTCGTTCTCCAGACTGTTCTGCCAGGTCGCTCCTTTTAAGGGAGAACCAGTCCACACACGAGTGTTGTTACCCCCTTCCGGGAAGCCACCTCCACATCAGGATGGACTCGGTGGCAACAGTGCTCTGGGACCCTGGACCACCCACAAGTCACTGCAGCTCCCCCTCTCTGCATTGAGAGCCTTTCTTTTTGTAATTAGTTAGTATTTCCTTGGGAGATACTTTGTAGATACTTGCTCCTCATCAGAGTGTCATGTCCTAGCCTTTGCCTCCATTGCTCGTTCTCGGCCCAGTGAGAACTCTGATGGGGGCCAAATGGTGCTTGGAACTATTGGCAATTTACCGTAAGGAAGAGCTTACACTTCCGGCTTATTTATATCAATATGGACTTGCGATTTCCTGTTTCATTCAATGGGTTCTAATCCACGACTATGTTTTTAATGTTCAGATTCAAATGCGGCCAGGTGGGTGCCCTTCCAGCCTGGCTCCTGTGACCCTCAGATGTGTCCTGTCACGCTGAGCACTGCCCCTACAGAATCTCACACAAGCAGGGGCTTCAGGCACACCTTACATTGTTCTCCGCCCGCCCTGGGGTCTGCTGTTTGTCTAGGAGCCCTGGTTCCTTTCAGTGCGGGTGCTGTCCAGGGGCCAGGGTCTGGAAGTAGTGTGCTTGTTGCTTTTGGGGTGACTGGCTCCCAGGCCCTATGCATGGACAGTTGGGGTGTTTCCACACTTGTCCGTTTCTGCCGGGGAATCTCACCCCCGATGCCTATAGCCATTCCCTGCAGCTCAGGGCTCGCTCTGGTGTTCTCTCCCTCTGCATCTGTCCCCCTCCCCTCTGGCAGCGAGAACCCTGCTGATGTGCTTACCTCTCCGTCGCCCAGCATCTGACTGATCTCATTGGTCGTGTTACCCTCTCGGACCACCCCGCCACTGCGCACCCCCTTCCCGTCCCGGTGCATCCCCGTGAGGAAGCCCTGCTCACACACCCAGCGGCTCCAGCTCACCTCCCCTGGCTCTGCCCCTCCCCTGCCCGCCCCCCCTACTCCCAGGTCTGGCCAGGAGGCACCCTGGTCCACGTGTGATGACCAGCTCTCAGGGGGTTGGGGAGGCTGGCTTGTGACATGGGTGGGTCTCCTGCCCCTGTGGCCAGCTTCAAGCTACCAGCATGACGCCACTGGACGCAGATCGGGGGGACACTCGGTATGGACTTCCCTTATTCAGATGCAGCAGACAAGTAGTGTCAAGGGCATAGGAAGGAGTAAAATAATGAGCAAGTGATGAGTTTTGAATATTTATTACCTTGGTGCTTAATACGATTTACTTAATTATGTGTTTATATTATTTAATATGTTTTTCACAACTGGTTCCCCAAACGCCTGAAATTCTGACAGTCAGTCGGCTCTTGTGAGTGGATAAGAGCTGGCCAGCGTCCCCCTGGCTGACCGCACGCTGGCTTGTGCGGATGTCCCTCCTCCCCTCAGATGACGCCCGGCCGGGCCACGGACACCCTGCCCGCCCTCGCTGTCTCCACCCCGGGGGTGGTGCCAACCTCCTTGGCTCAGCCTCATGGCCTTGGACTGAATTATTCTGGAATGAGGGGAGCAAGCAAGCCAAGTAGCACCCCATTTTTTAAGTGGGTGCCCCATACCCCGTGGTGTGGGTGCAAACTGTGAAGTCGGCGGTGGCAGACGAGAGGTCCTGATTTTCCCCCTCAGCTTTTGGTTCAGTGTTCTTAAATTGGCCCTGTTGTCTTAAGCTCATGGTTAAGGCTTTGTGGTTACTCACCTTAGGGTGTAGGGCTTGTTGCTCTGAAGTCATCTCACGCTTGCCTCCTTAGGTACAAAAAGAATTTGAAGGCTCTGTACATTGTGCACCCCACCAACTTCATCAAGGTCCTGTGGACCATCTTCAAACCCCTCATCAGGTATGTGGCATTCTCAGCAAGAACCTCACTGGGGCGGGAGGCTCCATCCCGCGGGCTTAGGGCGGGGGGATGGCTCTCCCTATGTGGCTTTGTGGAGGTCTCATCTCTGGGGCACCCATGTGTCTGGGGTACGCCGCCCACCCCGTGGCTATGGCGGGCATGGGGCTGACGGTCCTGAAAGTCCTGAATAGGAACACCAGCTCACGATACTGGTGAGCTTTGCACCTGGTATTTTTAAATCCCACCCTGGCCACTTTATGCACCTGTGTCGGGGGTCTCAAAGACCACCTCAGGTTTGGTGGTTCACTGCAAGGACTCACAAAACTCAGACCAGCACTCATTCTAGAGAGTGTGGCCCGCGTGGCCCTGCCAGGGTGGTCGGATGCGGCTCCCAGATCTGCAGGCTCTGCTTGGAGAATTTCTGGAATAGCAGACCTGAGTCTGCTCCCGTTTAACGCAGGGAGAGACTTCTGTGGCTAGAGTTCCTTTCGTCGTAGGAGAATTGCCCGCCAGTTTTCCCACAGCTTGCCCGTCCTGCCGCCGCAGACACATTCCTGTTAGGAAGCTGGGATTTTGTCCGTCTGTTCTGTTGCTTAGCCAGGACCAGCCTGCTGGTGCTGTACTTGACATTGTGCGGAAGCCAGTGCCGGTGACGCAACTGCCCGAGAAGACAGTTCGGATGTTCTTCTGCTCATTGGCGCTGTCGTTCACCTTAGCAAAGCTCTCAGAGTTCTAGAAACCTCTCTGAGTCCTCGGGGAAATAATCATCCCCCCCGTCGTGCGGCAGCCCAGATGCTGTGGTGGGTTGGGAGCTCGGGCTTGTCTTTGCCCCGCCTCTGATCACCCAGTCCTCCCGGCAGGAGATACAGCCTCCCTCTGCCTTGGTTTCCCCAGTGTCGCCGCACTCATTTTGTCGTTGCCACAGTTCGTTGCCTTGTACACCCAGAGTGTTCTAACAAGGCCTGCCTGGCCCTAGCAGATACTCAGTGTTTGCTGCTAACATCGTTTTAAAAAATTGTTTACTACCCTTTTGTGATTAATTTATCACAATTTCTTATACACCTTAGGTGCACAGCACCCCAAAACGATCCCGTGAGGTCAGCTGTATTCTCCCTCTTCCAAAGGAGAGGAGGTTGGTGCTCGGAGAGGTTAAGTCACGGCTCAGCTGGGATTCTAGCTCAAGCCCGTGTGGTTCTGCCACTTATCCTGCCTCAGGCATGGCCATAAACAGGTGCCAGGAGAGAACCTCGGGAATCAGGGTTGGAGACCCTGGAGTCTGGACTGGGCTCTGCTGCCTGTTGGCTGTGTGGCCTCAGGCAGCTGTGTGACCTCTCTGAGCCCCAGAGTCCTCATTTGGAAGTGAAGAGAACAAGTGCAGAGGCTCCCCAATGCCCGAGAATGAACAGGAATGTCCGCGGGCCTGGCCCCTTACCTCTGACTCTGACCCTCTGGGGGTGGGGCCTGGGGATTGCTCACACACCTGCATTGCCGTCCCCGGGATGCACTGCCCCGAGGCCTTTCCGGGGCATGAGGGGCAGGAAGCAGGGCCCGGCTTGCATCGGCCCTCCAGAGCCCGGTGACCAGCAAGTAAGTGTCTGGTCAGCCAGAGGGGGTCAGGCAGAAGAAACACAGCAAACATTGGAGCGTGCTCCTACATGGGCAGGGGGCTGGCACCAGAGGCCTCCCTGCAGCTCAGAAGCTGACACCTGTGTCCCCCCGCAGGCCGGCCATGCATGCGGAATGGCCAGGCCCCCTCTGCCCCGAGGGCAGGTGGCTAGGGGTCCGGGCACCTGGCCTGATTCCCGCTCACCCACTAGGGGGAGCCAGTGCACGCGGCTGGGCCTCCCGCGGGCTTCAGCTCCAGGCGGGCTTCAGCTCCAGGCGGGCTCGTGATAAAACAGCTCGGCTTCCGTGAGACACCAGGGAAGAGGTTCGAGAGGTCTGCCCGACAGCCAGCCTGGAGCCTGCGGTTGACGACACAGTGTCGTGCCCTTGAAAATTTGTTCAGAGGGTACATCTCGTGTTGAGTGTTCTAACCACACACACAAAGCAAGGGGATGCGAGGGACACTCTTGAGACGATGGATCGGCTTGTTCCCATGACGGTGGTGATGGCATCACGGCGTATGCATGTGTCCCAACTCCCCACATCGTGCCCGTGAAATCCGTCCCACTCTGTGGGTGCCAGCGACCCTCCAGTAGAGCCACGACGAGGAGCTAGGCAGGCGGTGATCGCTTACCAGGAGCAGGTGCGGGGCCGGGCGTGTGACTCCTCACCCGCTGGATCCTGTTCTTGTCCCCGCTCTGCAGCTCAGGGAGTGGGCTCGTTGGTAGCAGCGGTCCCAGGTGGTGGGTACCGGGTGTGGGACAGCGGACGTTTTCCCAGACAGTCTCGCTCAGAGGGAGAACCCGTTTCCGAGGGGGAGACTGAGGCCCTGAGAGGCGGGGGGCGCGGATTGGGCCAGCGCTGGTGTCCACGGTGCTCGCTCCAGGCTGGCCTCCTGAGTGACACCGTCCTGGAGAGAAAGCAGGCAGCGCCTTGTGTGACCCTCACAGAGAGGGGGTGCCCCAGCGGGAAGGCACCCCAGTGCCAGAAACCGCAAGTCCTCCGGGCCCCTCCCCACTGTCTCCCGTACGTGCAGATTCGTGGCAGATTCAGACTGGAGGCAGATCTTTATTTTTATGCAGATGAGACTCTCCCGAGTGTTTGGTGCATCCGAGTTCTTATGAAAGCACAAGATCTGCAGACGTGTGCTGCTTCTATTATGTTCGGGTTTCGACTGGTGTCAGCACTTAATGGTTTCTTACATGAGAAGCGCCTGTGTCGCCTTCCCCGCAGCCCCGGCCCCCGCCCCGCCCCGCCCCCGGCACGGCCTCTCCATCTCCTCATTTTTATTCTCCTGCTTCTGCTTTTTCAGTCATAAGTTTGGGAAAAAAGTCATCTATTTCAACTACTTGAGTGAGCTCCGCGAACACCTCAAGTACGACCAGCTGATCGTCCCCCCGGAGGTTCTGCGGTGAGTCGGACCCCGTCCGGAGAGGGGTGGAAACACCCCAGGGGATGCCATGGGCCTCAGCCCATCCCGTTATTAGCGTGGAAGGCTGCGCCTCCAAACGTGTGCCCCGCAGATCTGGCCCCAAGACGTGCGGCGTCAGCAAGGATGCTAAGTGCTGACTCAGGGAGCTGAGCCTGCCGCAGGCTGTGCACACAGACGCGGGGCTCTTCCCTCCCCCCATGGCAAACTGATTTAAAAATATTAAGCCATCGCGGTAACTGCTGTTCGCCGCCTTGGAGTTTACCGTGTTTGGGAGCAGAGGGTCAGGGGAGTTTCTCGGGCGTGTGGATAACGCCGTATACGGAATGAATGTTCTCAGGCGCGTTGCAGGTGCTCTGGAAGCCAGCCCACCTGGTGGCTTTTGCTGAAAGCCTATTCGAAAGCCTATTCGCTACTTGAGTTTATATGGCAGCGGGGATCCGCGCTCCACAGTCTCTCCCGTGGGGTGCAGAGGAAGGCGTGCAGCCGGCTGGCCCCACAGCCACGCAAGGGCAGGTCTTGGACCCCCGGCCCTTTGCATCTCCCTCTCTGGGGGCTCCTTGGAGGGAGCAGGGCCCTTCCCGCGCTGCAGGGAGGTGGGCAGGCTTGCAGGGGCAGGGGAGATGTTGAGCTCTCCTGGGCGCCGAGTCGCGCGCCAGAAGCTGGGCACACAGAACCATGTGGGGAGTGACCCTGCCCCCGGGGTGCTTCCAGGTGGTGGGGGGGCCTCAAGTCGGTGACGATTGCTGGGGAGGGGACTGGTGACAAGGGAATATCAGGAAGAAGTGAGTTTCCAGGGGACAGGTGGCTGGGTCAAGAGGTGGGGAAGGGTGCTTCCAGCAGAGGGAAGCCTTTGTGCAGACACGTGGGTGAAATGTTGGCCAAGCGTTGGCAGGAGAGATTGGACATTTGCTGGGGTTGGATTATCCTCTCTGCCTTTTGTGTGAACACCATGGTAGTGGGGGAGAGTGTGTGTGTGTGCATGTGTGTGGGATGGTGGTGTGGCATGTGGGCCCAGAAGGACGAGATGAGGGTGTCCTATAGATGTTCGTGGGGCGTCTGGTCCCCGCGGCCCGAGGCTCCTCCCCTGCAAGGTGAGAGCCGTGCTTCTGCTGTGTCTGCAGGTATGATGAGAAGCTCCAGAAGCTGCACAAGGGCAGGTCGCCCTCTCCCGCCAAGACACCGCCACCACGGCCCCCTCTGCCTACCCAGCAGTTTGGTGTCAGTCTGCAGTAGTAAGTGAGCCGGGATGTGGACTGCTGGTTTCCTCTGGGGGACCGTGGGACGCTCACGTCCCAGGGAGGCTGTGCCCAGACCTTTGTCTCCAGCAGTCCCCCTTACCCCTGCGGAGAACCTGAAACAGGTGCTTTTCCTGGAGGCGGGAGCACTGATTCCGTATGTGTCTATGTGCCCATGTGCAGGGGACCCAGCGGCAGGCAGGGGACCGGGTCCCTGGGGTTCTCACCCGTGTGCAGGGGACCCAGCGGCGGGCAGGGGACCGGGTCCCTGGGGTTCTCACCCGTGTGCAGG